CTGGTACCCCCCCCCCCATCCCCCAAAACCGCCAGCAACAAAACCAGGAGTCCCGACGCTTGTCCCAGCACAACCCCGAAGCCGTACTTACAGGGCAGGCAGGATGAAAATCCCAAAGGAGATCCCCAAGGCAACATCCTCCCCCGCCCCAAAAATCCCGGGGGGTCGGGGGGGGGACGCAGGAGCCCCGGCTCTTGGCAGCAGCTCCCGGAGCCATCCGGCACGGCCGTGGGGCCGGGACATGGGACAGATGGGAAGCTGCCCTGCCAATCCCTCCCCGCTGCCAAAGGTGAGGGGATTATTAATATCCCTTCCATTTTAATAACAGCAGAAGCTGTAAGTAACAAAGCTGGGCCATTTATTCAAGTCTACCATTGTTTGCCTGACAGTAGGCGCTTAATTATTAATAGCTTTCACCACCAGTTAATTTAAATGAATTCGGATGCTCTCCTCCCATCAGCTGCCAGTGAGCAGCACCAAGAAAAGCCTAATGACGGCAGCAGGGGACCGTGGGCAGCACCCATCCGCCTCCCCCAGCCTTTGGGTGTGCAGCCAGGGGGGACCCCGAAACACCCGGGGGGTCACAGCATCAGCTGGGGAGATGCGGTGCTGGGTACCACACCGCCACGCGTCCTCCAGCGCATCCTTCAGGGACGGGAGCTGGGGCAGGGGAAAGAGATCGCCGAAAAGCAAAATTTTCACCGTGTCTCCGATCCACGCGGCTGCCCAGCCCCTCCAGGCAGATATTCAGGGTGAAATAAAACTCTAACAATTTATTTTGCTCAGAGTCAAGCACAGCCGCATTTCACCGGCGGAGGGAAAAGCACTATGTCCATCTTCCTTCTGTTTTGTTGGGTTTTTTTCCCTCTCATTTCCTGCAGCAAAATTATTTCTGCATTAACGAGAATGGCTCCATTTGGCCCAGGCGACAGCAGCGCGGAGAGCGAACACCGACCCGCCCCGCGCCAGAGGACATCTCCCCAAAGCCACCTCTGCCCGCTCCATCTGCCAGGCTCCCAGCAACGAACGCAGACCCTGCTTCCTCCCCTCCCTTCGAAAACAAAAAGCCAGAGGACCAAAACAAAGAGACCAAGACTCAAATTAAACCACTGACAAGTTATTTCCAGACAGAGGATGTCCATTAAGGTCAGCTGGGGCCATGGAGACGAACGGGTGACAACCCACCCGCGCGTCGCTCGTCTGACAGGGCTTCCCCCCTGCGCTATTTCCCCCCCTTTAATTTTCTTCCTGGTGTTGCTACAACGGAAAAAGCAGGCGCCCACCGCTCGCTTTTGCGCTAATTATATCCTCCTCCCCCGCAAGCGACCGGTCCCAGCTTCAAGCCCAGGGTATGGGGTGATGGGGTTTTTAAGGTGGGAGAAGCAGAGGTGCTTGTCCCCGTGTCAGGGTGCTGCATCCCTCCCCAGAGCATCCCCCGGCACAGGCAAGGTCCGGGGACAGGCAGCTCCTCGCAGAGAGGCGGCCGCGGGTGACAAACCCCCTCGGCTGCCCCTGGGGATTGTTTTATAGGGGATGTTTTTCATTTTCAGTGATTTTTTTTTAGGTTATTTTTTTAAATGTACCCCAATAAAATGGCAGCGCGGGCCTGCCTGGGGGACCCGCTCCTCCCCAGTCTCTCCATCCAGTCGGGATGCGCCCCAGCAAGGACTCAGGGGTCCCCCAGACCCCTTCCACTTGTTCCCTGTTAATCCACCAACGCTGCCAGGGTCCTCTCTGTCCCCCCACCCCACTGGGTGCTCGTCTGCCACGGGGATCCAGCAGCTTTCCCAGCCCGGGTATGAGCAGAGCATGTAGCAAGAGCTACACAAAGTGTCAAAATCCAGTTTTTAAAGCTTAGCTTAATTCCTGCCACCAAAGCTGGAGATGGAGAGGAGGGGGTGTCCCAGAGCCGGGGGTGGGGGGGAACAGGCAGGACCAGCCTGAGGGTTGATGCAGTATCGCAGCTCATCAGCACAGCCGGGGTTATTTTGGAGCCCTATCCATATGCTGGCACACAGCAAAAATCTGCTCCAAAAATCACCATGGGGAAAATAATTTCCCAACCTCCCACAAAACAGAAGCTGCAGAAACAGCCCCGGGGCATCCCCCCGCTGAGACTCCAAACCAAAGGACGGGATTCGGGCGTAGATCAATACCGTGCTTCGCTCGTTAAATCTTTCCTCTGATCTTCAGTTTAGGGTCGGTTTGAATCAAGATGCCCATCCAGGCAAGCTGTCACCCCCCCTCTGTCACCGCAAACAACCACCCAGCCCCTCTATGTGTGTCCGTCCCCCCCAGCTCGGCCGCAGCAATATAACTGAATTTAGTTTTTGGGTGCACTTTTAGAGAACACCCCAAGTGCTCTGTGGAGAAAGAGAAAAGACTCAAAAAGCGCTAAATCATATTTCAATCAAACAAATGAAAAGAGAAACAAGTTTCCAGCGATGTTCTCCCTAAGGAAAAACCATCAATTTGCTTCGCAAAAGGCGACGGCGAGGGCTGAGCTGCGAAATCAGCCCGGAGGGGCTGTGCACAGCAAGCCTTGCACCCATCCCACCAGAGTCCTCCTGCGGGGTCTCCAGCAGAATTTTTCCGCTTGTGGCATCATCAGCTCTGCCTTGGGGTTCAAACCAGGTCTTCGAGGAAAACTCAGCACCTCTGGTAGCTTTGGCCATGAATCAGAGAGCAACGAGCTCACCAGGATTTTCTCCCAGAGCCGAGCCGCAGCCCCGCTCGCCCGCAGGGAAGGGACAGCTCTGCCCATCCCACCGCCCC